ATAATAATTTTTAATTTTTATTTTTTCAGCTTTTATTAACATTTCAATTTTTATTTGTTTGGTTGTTGCTTGTATGTTATTTCATTGTAATTTCAGTTTTTTGTTTAATAAAATTGTTATTTTCGGTTAATCTTTTTAAATTTTTTCAGGAATTTCAAATCAATTTATATTATATTATACAATGGAAGTCCGAACTGATGAAATACTAGTTAACATTATTACGTACTGTCACTGTGACATTGAGGAGATTCAACTCATCCGTGACATGAAGACGTAATGTTATGAATGCACTGAATCATCTTAAAATCATCCAAACTGGTGCTGATGAGGCAATAAAATAAATCTCTCATTCCTAAACTTCGCCCTTGAGAATTACAGGGTTCTATGTGAGTGGAATTTGATATCCTTACTCTTTCATACACTTTTATATAAATGATACTTATCGGATTCAATTCCATATCGAATTTTTGGAGTACAATCAGAATAAAAAACGTGATTTTTGTAAAATTCAATGTTCATATGAAAGTAATCACATGCTTTCTTCATTACTTCTGAAATTTCCCACATTTTGTGTATGAAGGGAGAGCCAAAAAGCTCTCCCTTCATACACATTCCCCCTTTCCAAGTTAGCATCATCAGGAGTCAGTATGTTATATTCAATTGCTTCAAGTCTTTGGAATATGCAGCTACCTCGGGTGTTCCACAAGGAAGCAACCTAGGCCCACTTCTCTTTAACGTCTTCATAAACGACATAGTTGAGGTCATTGACATCAATTGTTTGAAATACGTGGAGGTCCTGAAATTATATTGTGAGATCAAAGGCATCAAGGACTGTCTTCAACTCTCCCTCAATCTGAAACATGTCGAGCAATGGTGGTTTCGCAACAATCTTCCTTTAAATTCGAGTAAATGAAATGTAATAACGTGCACACTGAAAAATCGTCCATTTTCATATCAATATTTAATAAACGATATTCCACTTCAACGGCCTTTCACATTCAACGATCTAGGTGTTACCTTTGACAAAAAACTTCCGTTCCTACCACGAATTGCACG